GGCCAAGCCCAGGGTGGCCAGTCCAGGAACACCCAGACCCGGAGTGGCCGGGCCCGGAGAAGCCGGGCCCAGAGCAGCCGGGTTGGGAGCAGCCAGACCCAGAACAGCAGTAGCCAAGCCCAGAGCATCCAGGCCGGGAGTGGCCAGGCTCGGAGCGGCCGGGCCCGGGGCAGCCGGGCCGATAGCAGCCGGGTCGGGTGCGGCCAGGCCCGGAGCAGCGGCTGCCCAGCTGGGAGCGGCCAGGCCTGGAGCGGCCAGGCCCGGAGCAGCAGCAGCCAAGTCCAGAGCAACTAGGTCGGGAGCGGCAGTGAACAGACCCGGAGCAGCTGGTTGTGGAACGAACCAGAGCAACAGAGGCCAGGCCCTGAGCAGCCAGGCCCGGAACAGCTCGCTCCTCGCCTGCCCCTGCCCCATGGCTGCCTCTCAGACATGGCTGGAAACTTTCGAGGGAACTTGAGGGTCTGCTGAATCAAGTGATGAAGGCTTTGATCTGGATGTGTTGAGTTAGTTTAGGACTGGGCTGTTGAACTGTGAGTGTCTTGGGTGGGACCTGGATGAGGCTAGTTGACCTATTTGGAAATGTCTTTTGTGTGAAGTGTATCATTGGGCATGTGGAGGTATTATTGATATGAGAAAATGCTAAGTAACTGATTTACTATCTGAAAAGGGATTTACTATCGGGGAAAGGGAGGGAAGAAGAGACTGAACATAAACTGTGCACCTATGGATGAGGACAATGGGGGATGGGGAGGGGGCGGAGGGTGGGGTGGAACCTGGTGGAGGGGGGAAGAAATGAGGAACCTTTGTAATAATATGAACAATAAAGATTGATTAAAAAAAAAAAAGATATAAACATCAGAAACAGTGAGCTATCTGGGGACCACAGAACGGGAAGCTGTGGGCAGAGCAGCCCTTACACTCTGAAGTGTAAGGGGCTATGGATACTGGAGAGGAAGGAGGGTTGCACCTGTAGGAGTGAGTCACTGGGGTCAAGGCAGCGGGAGGACAACATGCAGGGAAATGCTGAGGACGAGGTTTGGACTTGATTCTGGAGAAAACGGAACATGGGTGGTTTTGAGCAAATTGACATGAAGAAGATAATCCTTTAGACTCTAAAGTTTAGAGGGAAATGACTAGCCTTATGAAATGGTTTCATAATAGTTTTTCCCTTATTTGATTGGATAAACACCATAACGAGAGCAAATATAAAAATGTAAAAGCGTTCACATTGCAACAGCCAGATGCGTGGCACGCTTTTATTCCCCTGTCCTTGCTCCTAACCATCTACATTTTTCTTGTCTGATTTCAACTTTTTAGTTTGCAGATTTCTCTCAACACTTTGTGTTGCTGCCTGCTCTCCCTTTGGGTGCGGTTTGCATGTCATATTGGTTATTAGGTTCAAGGCTGTGAGCAACTTAGGCTTTTTGAGACCCAGTTTCCTCATTTTAAAAAGGAAGGCGATCACAACTCTCAGATTATGATAAAGAGGATTGACTGGTGTTAATAGATGATTATCGCTATGCTTTTGAACTTCTAGCTTAAATCTTTTTTTTTTTTAAATCAATCTTTATTGTTCATATTATTACAAAGGTTCCTCATTTCTTCCCCCCTCCACCAGGTTCCCACCCCACCCTTCGCCCCCTCCCTGTCCCCCATTGTCCTCATCCATAGGTGCAGTTTATGTTCAGTCTCTTCTTCCCTCCCTTTCCCCGATAGTAAATCCCTTTTCAGATAGTAAATCAGTTACTTAGCATTTTCTCATATCAATAATACCTCCACATGCCCAATGATACACTTCACACAAAAGACATTTCCAAATAGGTCAACTAGCCTCATCCAGGCCCCACCCAAGGCACTCACAGATCAACAGCCCAGCCCTATACTAACTCAACACATCCAGATCAAAGCCTTCATCACTTGATTCAGCAGACCCTCAAGTTCCCTCGAAAGTTTCCAGCCATGTCTGAGAGGCAGCCATGGGGCAGGGGCAGGGGAGGAGCGAGCTGTTCCGGGCCTGGCTGCTCAGGGCCTGGCCTCTGTTGCTCTGGTTCGTTCCACAACCAGCTGCTCCGGGTCTGTTCACTGCCGCTCCCGACCTAGTTGCTGCTCAGGGCCTGGCCGCTCCCAGCCTGGCAGCCCCTGCTCTGGGCCTGGCCGCTCCCGACCCGCCTGCTCCCCCAGGCCTGGCCGCTCCCAGCCTGGCAGCCGCTGCTCCAAGCCTGGCCGCACCCGACCGGCTGAACTTCTAGCTTAAATCTTGGATCCAGTTCGCTTGTGATCTTTTGACATGGATCTTGTTTTTACCATTTTAATCTCTCAAATATGTGTAACACTGTCACTCACTTCATTCGCCTGATCTTGTCCACACCCTTGTTAGGCATCATTCCCCTTAGCTGATAGAGACGAGAGGGCTGTAGACTCGCCTTGTGACTGAGGTGGTCTCAGCAATTCTGGTCTCCTGTCTCCATTGTTCAGACTGCTCCCTCCCCAGGCCATTTCTCAAAGTTGGGTTTGCAGCAGGCCACCTTGAAGGCTGAGTAATGCCCAGCCAGTGTGCTCAGCAGTTGAGCACTGGCCCAGGAACCAGGAGGTCACCGGTTCAATTCTGGTCAGGGCATATGCCCAGGTCGCAGTTGTGGGCTCAATTCCTGGTAGGGGCTGTGTAGGAGGCAGCCCATCAATGATTCTCTCTCCTCATTGATGTTTCTCTCTCCCTTTCTGAGAGGTACTTTATTTATATATATATTAAATATTTATATTTTATAAATTATATTTATATTTAAAAATTATATTTTTTGATGAGTACCTCTCCCCTGGGCTAAGGGCAAATGTGCTTCCTTTCACTCTGGAAGTGCTGAATCCCCCACACTCAATGTTCCGCTCCTGTAACATAGCCCACTGCCTGCGGAGGCCATCACAGGCCCTTTCTGTACCCCATGGGACTTATCAAATGTGGTGAACCAGCATCCATGAAGATCTGGCTACACCCATGTCCAGAATAAAGTCCTTTGCTCTGACCCAGAGCCTCACGTCCTCTGAGCGTCTGCAGAACAGCGGCAGGATAGTCCCAGGGCCTGCACAGTACTTCCTGGGCCTCTGGCTGGCGGCTGTGCAGCAGGATTCTTTTCCCTTTTGGGATGATTTCCTTGATGCATGTTCACAGGAAGCCGAGGTGCCTTCTCCTCTCACAGTTAAGTCTTGCAGGTGTTGCCCAGACCCTGTGTCTGATTCTAGCACTGGCTCCCTGTCTGAATCCTGGCCAGCAGGGTCAAGTCTGGGTGCCCTAACCTGGACCATCCTGCCAGCAGAATCTCACATAGACCTTAGTAAGTACCTGAAATAAGGTACTTTATTATAGCAGGAACAATCTTTATGATAGAACGATCTTTATCTTCTCTCAGACACATCGAAATAAGATAACCAGTCTGGGACAAGCAGTTATCTAGGGTCCAAATCCTGGCAGACACAGCATGTTTAACAAAGCATCTTACTAAACAAAACACAAACTTGATGTAATTATTTAATGACATGGGAAAATAACGTTATCAAACAAGTTGGTGGCAAATAGTGGGTATAGAATTTCACTTGATAAAAACATTTAAAATATGTATATAAAACACTGGAAGGATATAACAAAATATTCAGTCTTTATTTGTTTTCAGTGATTAAATATTCTTCCCTTTGTTTTGTACATATTTTTGAAACGTGATAATTTCTGAAACAAAAAGGAAAAACAAGTTATTGGATAGAGAAATAACTGTTAAATGTGAGGAGTCCAGCAATCCAGGTCTGCCCCCAGCACCGGCCGGACGTGACGGTGATCGGCCAGCAGACCAGTGCTTCTGGTCCCTCCGGAACGCTCCATCTGCCCGTTTCCTCTCCATCTAATGTTCTCAGTGTCCTTGTAACTCACAAGAGTCTACAATACCAACGGGCACAACAGCAAAGCGATGCCAGCACTTTGGTTTTAAATGGTAATAACCATTTGTGGTTATGAAGCACAGTAGAAATAAAAATAAAACACAGATCAGAAGCTCCCACAGCAGAAAACCACGACTAAACTCCCGCTCTCTGAGCCCTGCTCATTGATCTGAAAGTAGCAAATTCTTTCCTCAAAAAGATGTTTTACCTGCTAAGGCGTCCGGAGTGGGAAGGGCTCACTAACCTCAAGCAAGCCCCACCTGAAACAAGCCTGAAAGAGGCGTGTAGTTACTCTTTTTGTTTTAAAAGGTCTTTTAATCACCACAAGGAGAGCAGCAGCCTACCACACCTACGTTGGTGTAGAGGCGGCCAGGAACCTTAGCTCTCCTCCAACTCCAAACAGGAGCATTTTATTCAAAGTACAACTCATGTTTCTTGCTCTTAAAACAAAATGGGGAAAGGCTGTTTTAAAGCCTGGCGTATTTAAAAATCGATGCCACCTTTAGTTGAAGGTGTATCTTAGGTACTTCTAAAAGCTCTGTCCTTGTTCACGACAGCACTTTCAGGAGGGATCAGGAACTATCATTAAGGCCTAAGAAAGAAAGAAGGGGAAAAAAAAAAATAGAAAGAACCAACCAACCAATTCAGTTTCCTTGCACTGTCACCCCAAACCACCTCCAGTGTACTGAGTGACCTGCCCGTTTCAGCAGGTTGCTATAGCAATCCATATTGCAAAAATATTCAGACACCAGAAGGTACAAAAAGAATTAAAACAATTAAATCTCAATGACAAATGAGATTAAAAAAAAAAACAGCTTAACTTTAAAATATCATTTAATCACAACGAAGATTTTAAAAAAAAACCTTTGTGTGGTCCTTGGGAAATCAAGAAAAAATGAACTCTTGTTTTTGTTTTTTAACTCAAAATAAACAAGACTTGCTGGAAAGTGCTCACTGCTTGTAATCCATGCCAACGTACACCCCTGTCAGATCAGTCCCAAAGCCAGAGTAAGAAGTCCTCGTTAGAGCAAGAAAAGCCCCTCCTTCAGGACTAAGCCCCGAAGGCGGAAGGCCGGTCTTCAGTGGGAGAACTGCCGGCCGTCGGAAGGCTTCTTGCTAATGTGCTTGAAGATTTTGGACTTCTCCACTTTCCTGGGCTTCTGGTAGCCGAATCCACCGCCACCTCCTCTCTTCTTCAGCTTGCCTTCGTTGCTGTTCACGTCTGAAGGGCATGTTAAGGGAATCAAGCAACACAAAGGTAACCTCCCACCTTACATCTCCACGGGCACCCAGCCGCACACCCTCCCTGACATGGAAACGCGTAACAGGAGCTACACAACACACTGCAAGAAACCAGGAGTGCCCTGTGACTGAGGACTAAAATGAGGGGACTGAGTTTAAGTCCAGTACCTTAGTCATTCATTATTTCCTCCACACAATGGAACTCAAGACAATTTACTTGTAAGAAATAAAGAGGTAAATCAGCAAGTTTATAGGGAGCACAAAATATACTTCCTGTGTCAAAACAAGTGACTTTCCCCTCCACTGGGGCTGACTCAGGAATGCTTAAGCAATTGAAGAGTCAATGTGCAGGCATTTACTCAGCGCCCACTGGGGATGCAGCCCAAATCCGGCTTTCTCCTTCAGGAGCCAAGGTCACAGCATTATGAACAGGCCTCACTTCAGCTGCTGTTTCTTCTGATGAAAATGTGAGTATAAATTGCAACAGAAGCAACTGAGATACCCCCTTTGCCTTTTATCTTGAGTGGCACTTAAGTTTTCTTTTCTTTTGCTCATCTTGCAACTTCCTGATACGAAACAGCTCTAAGGATAGCAGCTCCTTAGAGGTCCTGCCTTCTCTCTGGCTTCAGGGCATCCTACCGTCCAGGCCTCACACAGCTAACCGAACCTGTACCGCAGCCCGAGCCCTGCCACCCCCTGGCCGCTCCCCAGGCTGCACAGCTCCCTTGGGCTCTGCCAGTGAAATTCCTTTGACTTTCCTAAAGGCTAAGTCATAAGAGTCATGTTTCTGTCATCCTTACTCCCGTCACTATCCCTGCCTGACGTGCAGTGACCAGGCTGAGCACCGTGCCTCCACTCCCAGCCAGAGCACACACCCACCCACCCAGCGCTAAGCCCACATGCCCCCAGCAAGCTTTTGTCCCGCGGATTCCAGCACCAATTCATAACAAAGAAAAGGATACTCAGATCAACAAAAGGAGGCACCTTGAAGCCAAATGACAGAGCAACGTGAGGCAAATTCAAGTTATTTACATTAAAGATTTGTTTCAGAGAATGGGAATCATATGCTCGAATGTACGACTTATATGCTTCCTGGGCTGACTTATGCAGAAAGTAGTTCTTTTCAATCAATTTTTCAAGCTGAAATGGAAAGAAACATTGTTTGTAATACAATAGCAGATTTCGTATATATCAGAAAAACCACCCTACGAAAACATTTGTGCCAATACACATGTTTCCAAGCTTTGCAATATTTGCAGAATCATGCCACAGTAAGAATAATTACAAAGCTCCCGTGTGGCCTGGTCTGAGCCGACGCAGAGCAGACATGTGGTAACTGGCACAGCGAGAAACCAGACTGACCACGAAGCACACTTCTCAGGGATAAAGGAGGCAATGCCCGCCAGCGGGGCTCGGCACAGGCAATGCTGGGACGAGGCTGAGGCCGCCAGAGGAAGCATACCTGAGACTGAATGTCAGAAATCTTGGACCAGGAAAACTCAAATTCACTTAATGGAACCTAGAAAACAAAAGCGTGAAGACTGGTAAACTAGGATGGATCACCATTCCCATGTTTAGTTGAAGAGAAAGTGAAAAGCCTACAAACAGTGGAGGGAAGGTGAGGAGTTTTATAGGCATGCGTCAAGAAGCCCTCGCTCCAGACAGGCCGGGAGCTCTTAGACGGCCCCTCGCTCTCCATGCCAGAGCTGCCCCTTCGCGACACCCCCTGACCGCAGTGTGGGACTGACTCCAGGTCAAGAGGACCACAAACCCCCACAGGAGGGCCCTCCGGTGCCGTCACTGACTAGGTAAGTGGAAGGAGGGCCAGGCCTGGGCTGGGTGCTGGGAGGACGCAGCTGCCCAGCCCGCTGTGGGACACGGAGGAGGTCCGGGCTGGCTTCCCAGAACAGACACAGCTGGCTGAGAATCAGGAAAGGGATTCCAGAGAAAAGTGCCAAATCTAGCGGTAATTCTGGAAAGCTGCGCCGAGATGTGGAATGAGAAAAATCCACCTGGCAAGACTGTGCCGGGAGCTGACAAGGTGGCAAATGCAGGGACGAGCAGGCCCGGTGAGCATTCACCATACCCAGCAATGGAGGCCACTCAGTTTTATGGATTCAGGTTTGGTGGATAGGCTGGACCACAGGGTGAGTGGAAAAATGGAGAAAATATAACCACGATTCAAACTGCAGGCAGAGGAAAGGCAACAGCCAGACGGGAGGAGTAGGAGAGTGGGTTTCGGGTTGAAGTTATTTTTCTTTGTGAAAGACTTGAGCTGGTAAAGAGCTGACTGCAAGGGAGAGACTGAAGACAAAGCAGCTGAATGAGGGACAGAAGAGGAGAAAAAAGAAAGAGGAGGAGGCAGGAGTGAGTGAGGTCCCCACTACGTAACAAGAAAGATGCCTGAGAAAAAGATGCAGAGAAACTGCAGGGCGGGGAGCGGGAGGCAGCGATGCTCAGGTGTGAGGGGTTTGACAGGAGGGGAGATGGCTTCCAAGAGGCCACAGGCCTGGCAGAGGAGGCGAGGGACACAGATGCATTGCTGACCTACATGGAACTCAGGATTAAGCCATAGGGGTGGTTCCTTCGGATCACATTTCCTGGGCTAGCCCCACAGAACCTCATCTGTTCAACATCTGTAACAACTGTTCCAGGAGCACTGCCATGACTCAGGACTCCTGGGACACCTGGAGGCCACCTGCACAGGCCAACAACTCCACAGGGAGGACCTGTTCCAAGTTAAGACTTCCCAAGCAAAGACCTTTACCTTGGATTGCTTCAAGTAACGAAGGAAACCCAATTCCTCAGGACGCAAGATGAGCAAGGCATGCCCCCTTCCGTTCAGGCCCCTGGCAGTTCTTCCCACTCGGTGAATGTATTCCTTTGGGAGAGAGAACATCCGAGTTCACACATCCTGACAGGCACCCGTGGCAGCCTGCATTCCAGGGACTGGTGGTGGGGGCAGGTCAGCACTATTTATGAGAGGGTGCCCCTCCCGTTAATTCCCTCTGCATGTCCCATCCCCAAAGAGGTAATAGGACAATGACCGAGGCCAAAGAAAAGCTGGACATGAAATTCACATTAGCTCTACGGTCTAATAAAATGACCAATAAGTGTGCTTTGACCTCAAAATGGCTTTTTGAAAAATTTTTAAATGCCAGTAACTATATAATCTACTAGAAGCCCAGCGCATGAAAATTTGTGTACTCAGGGGGTTGGGGTGCTCCCCTCAGCCCAGCCTGCTTCCTCTTACAGTCCAGGCCCCCTTGGGGGATGTCCACCTGCTGGCTTAGGCCCAATCCCTGCAGGAGCGGGCCTCAGCTGCAGTCGGACTTCCTCAACACTGCCAAGGAGACAGGAGAGGCTCGCACCGCTGCCACTGCGCTCACAGGGCTCAGCCCAGCTTGTGGCCGAGCCTCGCTCCCCCTGAAGGAGTGCACTGACCCCTGGTGGTCAATGTGCATCATAGCGACTAGTTGTTCTGCCATTAGGATCAATTTACATCTTACCCTTCTATTTTATAGGTTTGTTGAAAATAGTAAACTTGTTTTACTACATGTATTACAGTCTTATAAGCAAATTTTATTTCCTTCTGAGACCTACTATTCTTAGCAAATCAACCCAAGCATATAACAATCATAACTTAAGCCTCACTGATGCCTTTTAAATCTCCTTACACAGCCTTTTGGGTCCTGAAAAACCCTAAACACTATTTTTTCTCCTAAATCTGAGAACTACTGCACATTCATGTGCAATGAAACACAACATGCATAACCAAGAGTGCTCTTCAATGTGCACAGCCATCCTGAGACACCGAGGACGCCCCTTACCTTGGGGTCGTCTGGAGGGTCATACTGAACAATCCAGTCGACTTCGGGAATGTCCAGCCCTCTAGCTGCCACATCCGTGCACAACAATATCCCCGTATCCGCGTTGCAGAACTGGAAGAATGTGGTTGTACGCTTATTTTGCTTCTGCCTTCCCTAGAATCAAATAAAAACATCTGTTAGAGCTGGAAACATGAAGCTGTTGGGAGGTCCAGATGTCGAACCCCCGAACTGTAGAGCTGTGAACCCGCTTTACTTCAAGTTCACTCCCTGGCCTAGGTCCTGTTTCCCCAGTCGAGGGGGTCTCTTATTCCTTGTGGTTCTCATTCCTCAAACCCAACAAAACTACCCTCCCCCCCCCCCCCCCCACACACACACACACAGGACCGCTCACCAATGTTGACTGATTAGAGTCAGACCTCAAACCCAGTCTATACACCTGGGAAGTACAACTTTTTTTTTTTTTTTTCCGCTGTTGTTGTTAATCCTCACCCAAGGATATTTTCCCACTGATTTTTAGAGAGAGTGGAAGACAGAGGGGAAGATAGAAACATCGATGTTAAGGGAAACACATCGACTGGTTGCCTCCTGCACTGGCCCTGACTAAGGCCTGGCTGGGGAGGAGCCTGCAACTGAGGCACGTGCTCTTGACTGGAATTGAACCTGGGACCCTTTGGTCTCCAGACTGATGCTCTGAGCCAAACTGGCTAAGACAGCACAACCTGACTTGAATGAACTTCACTCACATGAATGGCCAAGACAGGCAAATCGATGTAGTTGAGCAGCTCATAGTGGTATTTCACGGACATACAAGACGAGAAGAAGACCATGAGTTTCTTCTTTCGGTTCTTCTTGAGGAATGTGAAGAGCAGGAGGAATCTTTTTTCGGAAGGACAAACAACATATCCCTAGAAGCAGTTCAAACGAACAGACACGAAATTACCAAAGGGACATTTGCAGCTGCATTAGCCAATATGAAGACTGGCACACTGCACACACGCTGCTGTGCTTTCCCTACAGTAGAATTCCTGCCATCATAACACAGCACCCCTACCATAAGACGAATTTAAGCTCTTAGATTCCTTTAACAGGCTGTATCCATTGGGCATTAAATTCTTTTCATTATTCATGAGATTATTGGTTATCAACAGTTCTTGCAACCATAACATATTAATATCTCAACTAATGGGAACTCTCAAGATATAGCAATAATTAATTTCTGAAAGCTCTTAAACAGCAACATCTCAAATAATCACAGCTTACAAACATAGTCCAAAACAGGAGCACAAAGCTGGGTGAATATATTTAAAAAACAAACAAAACACCAATGAAAGGTTTTTAAGCTGAATTGTTACAGAAAATATTTCATTCTCCAAAAGACTTGATCTTCAAGCCCAATTTTTAAAAAATATTTTAAAATTGATTTCCTAGAGGAAAGGGGAGAGAGAACCATCAGTGATGAGAATCATTGATTGGTTGCCTCCTGCATGCCCCCTACTAGGGATCGAGCCCACAAACTGGACTTGTGCCCTTGACCAGAATCAAACCTGGGACTATTTAGTCCACAGCCTGACACACTATTCTCGGAGTCAAACCGGCCAGGGCTTCAGGTCCTATCTTTAATCGATCTAGTTTAGGTCTCTGTCACCTCATTTCTAATTTCCCACAGCTATGTGCCTGAAACCAGTCTCTCCTCCACCTTCTAACTCAGAGCTTGGAAAGAGTGGTTAATGTGCTTCCTAAGTGGTAGTGGTATTAGGAGACAGTAAAGAAAGCTAATTAAGTTATTAGTTCAAGTTACATTATGTTGGAAAAGCCCGAGATCCAATACCGAAGTTCACTATATGTTAATTAAAAGTTCAAGAACCCACAGCTTTTTGGAGGATACTCCAAGGACACACACGCCCACACTTAACACAGAAGGTACTGATGATAATACCTGCTCAAGACCATCCACTGTTGCGTTAGTTTTATCATCATCGACACCAACATACAATGGCTCCTTTTTCAGAGAAATCCTCGCCAGGTCTTCAACTCTCCGAGTTTGTGTGGCAGAAAAGAGCATGGTCTGTCTGCGTACTGAAACACATACACGTAAGAATAATCCGAATCTTTCAGGGAATCCTTAGAATTGCTTCACAACTACAAACGCTCCTAAGCAGAACTATGGGAGACATGGTATCACTTCAGAGATTAAGGGAATATCACTAAAAACATCATGTTCGTAAATTTGACAACTCAGATGAAATGGACAATTTCCTTGATTGAAAGACAAACTGCTAAAGCTCACTCAAGAAGAAATAGAAACCTTGACTAGCCTGTAATTATTTTCAAAATTGTACTTAAAATCTTCATGTAAAGAAAACTACAGCCCCAACGCCCCCAGTGGTGAGTTCTAGCAGACTTTTATGGAAGAAACATTATGGATTCCTCACTAACTCTCCAGGACAATAGAGAATTCACTTTCCAGCTTATTCTTGAAGCTGGCCATTACCCCAATATCCAAACCCAACGACTCATAAGCAGAAATGCAAAATTTCTAAACAAACTTTAGCAAAGCGAATCCAGCAATATATAAAAAAGGATAAGGCATGGCTAAGTAGGGTTTATTCCGTAAGTGCAGGGCTGGTTGCTTCAACATTGGGTAATTAACCAATACAGCATACCATATTAACGAACTAAAGGAAAAAAACGGATCATTTCAACAGGTACAGAAAAAGCTTTTGACAAAATTCACCATCTATTTCTGATTTTAAAAAAATCTAAGCAAACAAGAACAGAAGGGATCACCCTCAATCTGATAAGGGGCATTAGAAAAATCTTATCTCACTACTTCTATTCTGTATTGTATTGGAGGTTCTCACCAGTGCAATCAGGCAACAAAAATATTAAGTGAAGAGTTTACTTTTTTTATTTGTAGATGACATGACTACCTATGTGGAAAATCCACATGAACAAAGAAATAATTAAACATAAATGGGTATATAAAAATCAGCCGTTTATGTACATAAAATAAACAATTTGAAATAGGGATTTTAATGAAGTACTTAGAAATTAAGGAGCTAATAAATGGAAATATACCTTATTCATAGATTGAACTGACTCACTGTTGCCTTTTACCAATGCAACATATAATACAAGGCCAGCGACAATAAGTATAATGGCGGGAACAACCTCTTGACCAGTCGCTATAAGGTGGGAGGATGGCGAGGGGAAATGGGTGAGGGGAACTGGGTGGCTGGTGATGGCAGCAGGGCAGGACCCGGGGCCAGCAAGGGAAACTGCGTGGTGGAGGTGGCAGTGGGATAGGACCTGAGGCTGGTGAGGGGAACCAGCTGGTTGGTGGCAGCAGTGGGGCGGGATGAGGACTGGCGAGGGGAACTGGGTGAGGGCAACAGGGTGGCTGGTGATGGCAGCAGGGTGGGACCCGGGGCCAGTGAGGGGAACTGACTGGTTGGTGGAGGTGGTGGGGCAGGACCCAGGATTGGTGAGCAGGTGGAAGATGGGTCTGATAGCAGGTTAGGCCTAGGGACCCTGCCTGTGCACAATTTTGTACGCTGGGCGTCTATATAATAAAAGGCTAATATGCAAACTGTCCCCACAGATGGGAGTTTGACCAACCAGGAGTTAGACATGTGCTGACCACCAGGGGTGGTGGGGAACATGGTGGATGTTGGCTTCCCCCTGGCTGGTGGGGGACGGCAGGCAGCCGGGGGGAGGGAGGTCCTGACCGGCAGCTGCTAGGGACCCAACCCATGCATGAATTTCATGCACTGGACCTGTAGTATTCAATAAAATCTCAACCAACCAGGTATTTTTAGGGAGCAGAAACTGACAAACTAATTCTAACATTTATACAGAAATGCAAAGGAGAACAGCCAGAACAATTTTGAAAAAGACCAGTTAGAAGTTAATCCCAAGACTTAATAGGTAGAAGTGGAACTTCTGTATGCTGGTGAAGGAAAGAAATATAAAATGGTACAAGTTAAATATACTAGCCACTCCATTTCTCAGTAGTTATACAAGAGAAAGAAAACATAAAGTTGTAGATGAATGTTTGTAGCAACTTCATAAATCTCTAGAAAATACAAACACATCTAGTGACAAAAGGCTGACCAACAGTTGCCTGGGAGAGATGTGTGTGAGCGGCTGTTGGTAGTAGGCAAGGTTGCTCCTACAGAGGCTGAGAAGGAGTACAAAGGTGCATGAACGCACTTTAGAGGGTTATGGAGATGTTTATTATACTGATATGATAATGGTTTCATGGGTGAAATAATTTATCAAATGGTATTTAAAATATGTATAGATCATGTCAATTACATCTCACTAAAACATTAAAAAACAAATTGTATAATGAATGGAATCATGGCTTTATTACAGATGTAAGCAGCTTATAATGTTACAAATACTATAACCAAGGTATGTACAACTCACACATCACACAGAAGGCAACAAGCCTGCGGCTGCCTGGGAGGGCCGGATGAAGAAAAGGTGAGAAGGTGATGGGAAGAAAGGGAATGAGACAGGTTTGGACTGTTTCACTTGCATTAAACCTCTAACTTGGCAAAACCAATGCATTAAGTTACTAATAAGTTTATTTATATTGCAAACTACCTCTACGACTTCATGTGGCTATACTAACACACTGTAGACAAGTAGTTGTACGCCTGCCACTGGGGATCGAGCCCTCCACCTGGGCAGGTACCCCTGACTGGAATCGAACCTGGGACTCCCCAAGTCCGCAGGCTGACACTCTATCCACCGAGCCAATCCAGCCAAGATGGGACCAATAGTTTTACTGCTAGCTTTACCCAGTGGCCAGGTAAGTTTCTACTGAATGAGTACAAAAAACATTTTATATAAATTTTAAAGGCACACTTTAAGTACCCATTGCATTTTGAAGTTATTATATGTTCTTACAAGATGATGTTTTTATTTTTATTTTTAAATGTATTTTATTAATTTTTTACAGAGAGGAAGAAAGAGGGATAGAGAGCTAGAAACGTCGATGAGAGAGAAACATCAACCAGCTGCCTCTTGCACCGCCCCCACCGGGAATGTGCCCGCAACCAATGTACATGCCCCGGAATCGAACCCAGGACCCTTCAGTCAGCAGACCGAGACGCTCTACCACTGAGCCAAACCGGTTCTGGCCAAGATGATGTTTTAAAGTATGATACTTTGTAAAACTGGGTAATGCAAAGCGAGAATTCTCATGATCCGTCTGCAATGTGTTGAAATACTGGTATTAACAGTTTTCAAATAAGAACAACTCTCATGTGCTTCTAACCACCACTTTGCAAACCACATATAGATACTATCCACTTACTTGGTAGAAGTTTGATAATTTGCTTTAATTCCTCTTCAAACCCAACATCCAAGATACGATCAGCCTCATCAATAACCAGACACTGCAGGTTTTTATACATAAACCCTGGAGTATTCTAACAAGACAAAGGACAAAGAAACACTGTTAGCTGCCAAGTTTGTCTGACACAAGACAATGGGACAGTACACAAGTGCTCTCTCACCTGCATATGGTCCAGGAGACGGCCTGGTGTGGCCACAATGATGTTGATCCCGTTGGCAAGCTTCTGTGCCTCAGCAGCCCTGTTGCTGCCGCCCATTATCAACCCGTACGTGTGCACGTGGTGTGTCATCAGCTCTTTAAGAACACTGAAAGTCTGCATGGCCAGTTCTCTGGTAGGGGACAGAATAAGAACTCCTGTTCCTAAAAAGCAAAAAAAGAATATGGAAAAAGTCAAACTAATTATCACGAGTTCATAAAAGCCGCAATGAACTTCTAGTGAGACAAGGGTAGAAACAACCGGACCAAAGGCTTACCATTCCTGGGCATGAACTTTAACTTAACAATGAGTTCAACTGCAGGGATGAGAAAGGCCAGGGTTTTGCCACTGCCAGTTTTCGCAGCTGCCAGAAGATCCCTAAGTGGTAAAAGGGGGAAGGAGGAGACATCAGGGTACTCATTCAGCAGGTGCTTGAACAGCCAGCATGCTCAATCACAGGTGTTTCAGGCTCCAAGGCTGGAACAGGATCAAGAAAGACAAAGTTCCTCCTTTTTTTTTTAAATCACTGAATTCAACCACCTGAGTAAAACACCTAACTCAGAGGTGAGACTCGTGCCAAGAAACAGAAGTGAACATCTTCAAACTCCAGGAAGTAATTTAAAGCCTTTAATGCAGGTTGGATATGTAAACCAACACAATGCAAATAAAAAAAAACCACACTGGTAGCTCCCGGGCATAAGCTTTCCTGGCAAACACCTAGCACTACAAATAGATTCTAATGGCCAAACATCCATTTAATCATACCTGCCTTCCAGAAGTGGTCGGACACTTTTATGCTGGATTTCAGTCATGTTTGTGAAGCCCATTTCTTTTATTGCCCGCAGAGTGTTCTCATTGACAAGATCAGAGAGAGAAGCAAATGAAGTGTCCTCGAAAGCTCCTAAACAGAAGACAGTGTATCATTAGCAAATTTGTCATTTTTAGTGGCTAATTCAGCTAGACTATCTAAATTAGTTTTGCTGATTGAAAGTATTACTGGGTTGCAATAAAACTTATTAGAACTTCTTTCACTAAGGCTAAATCCCAACCATTCCCATGTAATACTAAGAAAAAGACCCTACACTTTTAAAACGTCTCCTCTGCTGATGGTCCCTAATGTAACAAAATAGTAAGGGGAGAGAGGAAGTAAGTACAAGCAAGGGATTTGCAGGAAATTAAAATGTCATGGGTGGGATTGGGGACAGGAGTGCAGAGAAATAAAACGTTTAAGAAATCTGAAATAAAAAGTGGAAACATCCTATCTAATAAAGAGGGAATATGCAAATTGACCATCACTCCATCACAATTATGGCGGCACCCAGTCCTCTCAGCCCCTCCAGAGTCCCCCAGTCCTGGGGGTGGGGATAGGGGTAAACGCCCACTGACAGCGGTGTCACAGAGGGCTTCTGGGCAGTGGGCACTGAGCGGCTGGAGGGTGGGAGGAACACTTGCATTGTTGCCCCAACAATGAGGCAAACAATCCGTGCCCAGCCGCGGAGGGCCTCTGGCCAGGCCGGGTGCAGAATGCTCGCACGCTCGCGTCATTGCAGGCTGGGATGAGGGACACCCCCCCAACCTCCACCATGCACAAGTTTCATGCACCAGGCCTCTAGTTGAGGATAATAAAAGACAAGAGTAAAGTAAAACAAGAGTGGTAAATCTTACTCCCAAAAGACAACCGAGTCAGACACAGGCGGACTGTGAGGCTGGACCTCCGTAACTGTGTGCATTCTTCAGCAGGGGAGCACCAACGCCCGTGAGCCCCCCACCGGGGAGCCCCTACTCCTACTTGGCCTGGCTAACCTCAGGTGCTGTCAACCTTGGCACGACCGACACCTCGGGCTGGAGAATAATTCTGTTGTGAGAGGCTGTCCTTTGTACACAGGATGTTCTGCAGATCCTTGACCACTACCCAGGGGATGCCAGTAGCCTGCCCTCAGTTCTGACAACAAAAATGTTGGAGGCCAACCCTTATGATTTTGCTGGGATAGAGGTTTATGATGCTGGACTTCCAAAGCTAACACTGGTCATGTTCTGAGCAAACCAGGATGAGCTGGTCACCCCATCTGGGAGACAAAATTGCCCTGGATGAGAATGCTGCCATCTTTGCAATTTTGATCAGGCAGGTCTGAGGCTGGGCCTGAGTATTTTAACAAAAAATCCAAACCAAACAACTCAAGTGACTTCTAGACTTTCTGGTTGGGAGCAACTAATTCTAGTCTAAACTCTTCACTTTACAGATAAAGAAACAAAGGCCAAAGGAGATTAACCTGACACAAGTTCTTTGATGTTAATTCCTTCCTCACATTCCTTCTTATTAACTAAGCCAGTATTCACCCTCTGGTCTCCAGACTTCTGGGCCAACTATGTTCTCCCTACAACATGGAGTGAACTTTAAAAAACGATAAACCAAAGGAACAAAGGACCCCAGAGGCTGTTGATTTGCATTATTAAAATACTGTCAGGAATAAAGGAAAGACTAGGGGAAGGACAAAAACTAAGGCACAATATGGAAGACAGAAGCTGCACTTCAGATATTAACCATTTCTTTTCAGTATTTTCTTCTTCCAGGTACAAGTCAAACCTATTATCCGGAGGTGCGGCATTTTAAAGATCCGGGAACTTGCTGGGTTACCTGTCAGCCCCAGGGGCAGGCTGGGCACCTCGCTCTCCTCCTCTCCGTCGCCTGGCTCCTCCACACTGTTCTTGGTAGCTTCAGGGGTCTGGGCACTTTCCTCTGCTTCCACTTTGTCTTCTGTTTTTGCTTTTTTGGTACCTTTGGTTTTAAAGAACAAAAACCCGTATTTTTTTCCCCTTCAAATAAAAATATCAAACCACAAAATAAAAGATGTGTGACACAAAAAGGTCTATTTTCAAAAGCTCAACACATTTCCAGCATTAATTTGCTAGGAATGTCTCTTTCATAAAGATTTGATTATATTTATTTATAAGCCCAGGGGGATGTGCAGATTTGCCAACAAAACTTTGTATTTTAGGATTCTTAATGTACTATACCATCTTCAGTAATTAGCTTTTACAAAGTTTAACCAAACAATTTTAAGTATTCTAATTACACCAAGCTCTCTATACTTTACTGAGGTTTCAGTTTTCTGAAAATTAGTTAAAAGCTAATTTTGTGTGAAGAGGAACAGAAATACCAAAGGCTCTTCATGTCACTGAGGAAGACCACAAACAGGGCAACCTCCCACTCAGCTGGGTGAGACACTGGCCATCCTTGATCGTAAGTGGTGGGGGCCGAAAGGAAGGCCTCCGGCTTTCACACCTCTACTCCCGCTCCCACCCTGTTCTCCCATCTTCCCCTGGTCAGTGGGTTAGCTATCACGCTGACATTATGGTGGTTGGTGGTGCCAGTTAGAGCAGAGGCCCCAGACCAGAACTCGGGGCTCCGGCAGCCCAGGCCTGGCCTCTTCCTGAGCCTGTGGAATGGCCGCCTCTGCAGGAGCCACACGTCCAAACGCCATGGATGTCACCAGCCGGTCTTCATGACTGATGGCTTCTGTTTCCTCATGACAGTTCTTAAAGATTACCCATCGGTTAAAACCCCCAGCTCTGCAATTCAGTGCTTGAGAAGAAAAATAAATCGCTTCCTTAGGCAACTTAGAAAAACAATCCTAAAGAAGCACATGATTTTAGAATCATATTAGTCACTGTAATGTCTTACCTTCATGCTTTTTTCTATCTGGTTTCACTTTCTAAGCAATTTCTCATAACCTACAAATGTGCTAGTCTGTAGGCAGCATGAAGACAGCTGTGCCATTTAGAAATGCTCAAAGCTCCTTTCTAAATGAAAGCTTTATTTCAGACAAGACAAATAGTATAAAATCTACCCAAGGTGCTGGCAAAACTTTTTCTTAAAGGGCCAGACAGTAACCTTTTAGGTTTTGCAGGCCACATGGTCTCTGTCACCACGAAGACCAAGTGAACAAGGAGGTACTGCAGCATTCCATCCAGTAAAGCCTTTCTCAGACTGGCAGGAGGTTGAAGAGATGTGCTTCTATCCTCCCTTGAAACCTCAGCCAGCTCACATCTCCATGAAACACCGCTCCCTAAGCTTCCTCACATCCAATCATCTCCCAAAGAAAATGGCACTTCCCCACAACCCAACACAACACAACACAACACAACACTACCCTGGTCCTTATACTCACTTGGGAGCTCATGTTCCATTTAGTCAGAAGTTTCCTGCTATTTTGTACACTTTGCACATCCAAATTATCACTAACTCTTCTTTTCAGAAGGGAGAAATTTATGGGAGGAAAAGGAATGGGGCCAAAAAGAGGAAGTGAAAAGAACTCATTCATGCAAAGGCCAGAAAAGTAGATTCTACTACCCGTCGGATATTAGGACCAGTAATTCCACAGCTGTTTGCAAGCAGGTAATCCTTGGTATGGTATGTTCTGTTTATCAGCTAGCAGAGGAGCAAATGTCTAGATATCTAAGGAGATTCTTCTCTAAGTGAGGTCTCAAGGATGTTAGGGAATGTAAAGGCATCACAAATATTTTGAGAGAATATGTAAGGCCCCCGCACACCCACTTCGTTTCCTTGAGCTCCTAGGGTAGTTTCTGGAAACTAGTAAGTATCAGGGGTTCTTGCATGTCATGTGAGCACAATAATAAAGAAAAAATGATAACTAGTGCAAAACAGTTTAAATGGAAAATGAAGAACTTACCAGGCCCAGCATCATCCACCATTTTTCTTTTTTTTTTCTTCTTCTTCTTCTTAGATTCTGAGTTGGGAGACTGCACTGCTGCTTCCCCGTTGGTTAACATGGTAGATTTCTTGGGGGATTTTTTAACTTTTACATCTTTCACTGTTTCTTTAGATATATCTCCATTTTGGGCTGCTGACAGGCCCTTCTTCACAGACGGCTTTAGGGACTTTTTAACGTTTCCACCTCCCACTGTGTCTTTACATGCATCTCCATTTGGGGCTTCTGACAAGCCTACATTCATAGACTGTTTTAGGGACTTTTTAATTTTTCCACTTGCTACTGTTTCTTGAGAAACATCTTCATCTTGAGTTTCTGATAGGTTCACGTCCCAGGTCCCTGTTTAAAACAGAACACACTGTATCAAAGAAGGGAAGTTTTCTCAGAAACAGCTGGAATCTCAAATGAGAAATTCCGCAGCTTCTAGCTTTTGCTTCCCTTTCATATAAGGTTAAGTCCTCACTTAATGTCAATGATAAGGGCCCATGGCATCTCATTAACGTTACAATGAATGATACTGAACAGAATGACATTATTGGAGGACCTGTTGTACATTCCTAAAACCACTGTCGCCCAGGCCAGTGTGGCTCAGTCCCATACACCAAGAGGCTGCTGGTTCAATTCCAGGTCAGGGCACAAAGCCGGGTTGGGGGTTTGACCCCCAGTAGCAGCAGGCGGCAGCCGATCAATGTTACGCTCTCACATGGATTTCTCTCATCTCCCTTTCTAAAAGTCAATAAACTATATTCTTTAAAACACTTGCAATTTTATGGTGTTGCAAATAAATTCCTTTTAAGGAAAAATGATGGAAAAAGGAAAGCTGCATTTCTTAATTTCAGAAAACCATCTCGGTCAAGAGTTAAAAGTTTGGAATAAGAAAACTTTAAGAGGTAAAATTTTTAAACAGCTGGGGTGAGACAATGGTAGTTACAAAATATGCATTTTAATGTAGACATTAATAATATATGACTAACAGATACATTAAAAACAACTTACATATTATTCACACAACTACTGCTTCTCATATAAATACAACTTCAAAACACTCACCCTGAACTTTCCTAGATGTTAGTGAGCTAAAGGTTGTTGATGAAATCACTCATTTGTCCCGATACGTATACACTGAGTGGACCGATTATTATGATCTCTGAATGCATAATAATCTGGCCACTCAGTGTATTTGCATCTCAAATGGGTACCAAAAGTATTCTAGACTTTTGCTGGAGATCAACCTCCTATTTGCCTTGAGCTTTCTATCAGCCAGTGCAAAATGGAAAAACCGATCAGGTGCATGACTTATAGTATCTTTGATATCAAATAAATGAGGTACTCACGAGAAGTACACTGAGTGGCCAGGTTATTATGCATTCAGAAATCATAATAATCTGGCCACTCAGTGTATATAAATAGGTCAAAATGTCTTTACAAAAGTTTCCATGTTTATGTATAAAGAAATCACATCATCTTTTATTTTACCTTCTGAAAAGTAGTAGGTAATGTTAAGAATTGGAAATACAAGGGGACTTCAAAAACCCACAAACCTTGCTCTTGCTCCTCCAGGATTTCTTCCAATCAACTAACCTCAGTTAAAAACCAATTGGGTAAGACACTGTACCTCAAAAACTGCCTTTGCCGGTTTACATCTTATTACACTGGACCCCAAAAGCTTAACCTGAACAACGTTAAGACTTCTGGCTCACTGTCAGAAGTTAGGTAAGCAAGGTGACATTCAGGTAGAACCCTTTTCTATGTATCTCCGTGCAAGATGCAAATACGTAGGAACTTATAATCCAGAGTTGGAAGTGATGGGAACATCAGGGTTGGAGAGCGGCTTGGCATTTGCATTTGATCTTTGGAGCTGTAAACGCATTAGTGCTCCAGGAGGAGAGGGAGAGGAAAGCCCGTGGCAAGGGGGACAGTGAGCTTCTTTTGAAGATATACAGACGTTAAACTGACGATGCAAAAGCAAGGTGCATGGAGGCGGTCCCACGTGCCTGCTCGGAAATGGGTGAGGTGGGGACGAGGTGGGACCCGAAGGCAGTGAGGGAGTGAAAAGGGGGTGGAGGTGGAACAAGCTGGTTTAGCGGGAGGAACTCCCGGAGGCCTGGAGGGAGAGCCAAGAGGCCTGCCTCCTGCTCTAAGTCGGCGAGGAGAAGCCGATGGCCCGAGTGTCAGGGCAGGTGTGAGGCCGCGGGCGAGGGGCGCCGGCTCGGGAGCCCACGCGAGGCCGCCCCGGCCGCCTTCCGCCCTCGGCGAGCACACGTGCTGCCCGCGCCGCCGGGGCCGGGGCTCGCCGGGCGCCGGGGACGCGCGGGGCTGCGGGCAGCGGGCGCGGCGGGGCTGGGCGCAGCTCACCCTGCAGCTTGAGGTTCCTCTGCCGCAGCTTGAGGTTCCGCTTCTCGATCTTCCTGCGCAGGAGCTTCATGGGCAGGTGAGCCATGTTGGCCAGACGCTTCCGAGCGACGCCGCAGCCTGGCTTCTGAACTCTCCCGGGGACGTTACTTCCGCTCCGTGCGCACGTGAGCCGCGCGGCCAACAGGATATACGTCACAGGAAACGCTGGCGAAAATGTGTCCCGGGTGGAAATGCTTCCGGGCGCGTGCGCCGTGCTACACTTGGCGAACGGATTTTGTGGAGCGCCCTCTGGTGGTTTGGAGGTCCGCGCCTGCCCTGGGTTCTTGTTAAGCCAGAGTTGGCGGGACATTGAAGCCACTGGGGGGCGGGGAGGGAGGAACAAAACCTGACTTTCACATAGATTTTCTTTCCACGTTTCTTAGTGAGAAATACACCTTTCATGTCACTTGGTGCAAATGATTACGTAAGTATGACCTTTGTCAAAGCAACACCCTTACTCTTGTGTTTCCCTCATATGTTTCTTTTCAGTGATTACACCATAAAGTACTCTATTCTGAGCCATTAAAAATTCACATGACTATGCCTTCAATTTCACAGCAGCATCGCTGGGTTAGCCGCAGTTTGAAAAACACGTTTATAATTCTCCAACACTCACCCATGGACCCCGTAGGAGTCCAGAATGTAAGTTGCAGTTTGGCTACCTAGTAGGCATCTCATTCATTCATTCATTCATTCATTCATTCATTCATTCATTCATTTATTTATCGTGTGTGTGTGTGTGTGTGTGTGTGTGTGTGTGTGTGTGGCACAGAGAGGTTCATAGAGTGTTTAAAAATATATATTTACCACTATTACAAAATTGGGATAATTCATACTGAAGTTGGTATTTTTCTTGAAAATTTGCTTCAGTTCCTCTTGGAAGTAACTAGTTTGGGCTGAGCAATCCCCTGGGAAGGGTCAATGAAACCTGCATTAGTTTGCTTATTTAGAGAGTCAGGGAAAGAGCTGACGGGGATTAGACATGGTCATAGGGAAGAAGGGAGAGGGAGAAACTTGGGGTCTGTTTAAACAGGATATGAATGAATTAAAAGAGAAGTCACCTTGAATTGAGTTGGAAAACCAAGACAAACAAACAAATCCCGATGTGCCTAGATTGTTGATGGTCAGGCAGACTAAAAGATGAGCCACAAATTTAAATGGGCTCGCGGGTGATTCAGTGGCTGAGCATTAATCTATGAACCAGTAGGTCATAGTTCAATTCTAGTCAGGGCACATGCCTGGGCTGCAGGCTTGATCCCCAGTGTGGGGCATGCAGGAGGCAGCCGATCAATGATTCTCTCTCATCATTGATGTTTCTATCTCTCCCTTCCTCTCTGAAATCAATAACAATATATTTTAAAATAATAAACTGGCCCATGTGTGCGTGTGCACACACAAACACACAGCTATGCATGCATACACACATACTAGTATATCTCAGTTTAAATATATATTAGTTTAAATATATATGTCTTTACTGCATACACATTGTGCTATTTATATTTTGTATATTATGATAATTTTTAAGGACTTATCAGCAGTGCTCACATGTACTTGCTTAAGGGGGAGAATTGAGACCTGCTGGTGGCTACTTCAATAATCTAAGAAGAAAGTGGTGGGATTTCATGCACTTGTTCCATGCCCCCACATGGTCTCCCATGCATGGCCCATCTTCCCTCCTTCACTGCCTTCACTCAGTCTTGTCCACCTCATCCTTCAGGACTCGGCTTCTATGCTGCCCACTCCGGGGAGCTCCCTAACTCTTCCCTACCCCCACCCCCCGTGGTCTGCTCACTTCCTCCTCAGGGCTTCTTGTGTGTTGGGTATGATTTCTACTGATGCTCCTTCCACCCTTGATGGCACTGTATTTCTTTCTTTTCTAGTACACTACTCAAGAACAAAGATGTTATTCTTGGGTTCCAGACTCTGCCTAGCATATATTAATAGAAGGAATTCAGTAAATTGATATCAATAAATTAATGGCAAATAAATTAATGACAGAAAAAATAAAAAGGGAAGATTGATTCCAGGGTATATTTGGGAGAGGAAGGACTAAGGTTTACAGATTAATTGAATTAAAAGGAAGAAGAGCTGTCACTTACAGAATTGATGCATTCATTGAGGGTAAAGTGGGGTGGTGAGCTTTTTTGGGATAACAAATTTGTTGTGGAACAGCATCACACACACACACATATATATATATAATACATAGTAACATATAATATATATGCTTATATAACATGTTATATAGTATACATAAGTTATAATTATAATATATAAAATTTTACATATGTATAAATTATACACTTTCCCCCCTTTACATACATATATCCCCTTTACATATATATTCATTTAGTTTGGAAATTATAAAATGCTAAATGTTTCGACTCCCAGAGAAAAATTAAATTTAGTGTTTAAGGGCTTAAGTTTGAATAAGGTGGCTATAAGCTTGAATCCCCGCTCTGCCATTTTAATGGTTATGTTATTTTGAGCAAAAAGTTACCCCTTTTTAGCCTCAATTTCTTTTTTCATAGAAGTGATATCATCATCATCATCATCATCATCTCATGAAACTGTATGAAGATTCAATGAGTTTACATATGTTAAGTGCATTTAGCTTAAAGTTTGGCTTTTATTAAATAACAGTTTTCATTATTATTTATGCACATAGAGCAGAATTAAAGGAGAGTTAGCTAGGAATAGTGACAGCCAGCTAAAACCAATAACGGTGGGGAAGCCCTTGAGCTGGGGACTGGGATTTCAAGGAGAGAAAATGAGGGACAAGGGAAATGGATATCTCATATATTCATATAATCACTCTTGAGTAAGTTTAATTAAACAGCACCTATCAAAGCCTCTCATTGAATAATTTCTATATTTTATAGAGGAAATTTGGGCTGAAATAATAACCACACTGATATGACTAATTGGGAGGAATATGGCCAAGTCGGAGTCTCCTTTCTATATCAGGGGAAAGAGAATGTGTTATCCCAGGGTCTAGGGTTATAATTATTGGAGCCCTATGCTGGAAATGGATTCTGTATACCATGTCTAGCACACAGAGAAAGACATATGGTTATCAAAAGCCAAAACTGTAACTTCATATATCTTAACTGAGCACTACACGGAAAATATGAAATGTGTGAGTAGCGGGCTTGATTCTCCATCTATGACAGAGAACAACCTGCTACAGACTTTCAGAGGTTTCCTTGCTTGGGTTTATGTAAAGATGTGCAGAGACTAACTCATCCTATTTGCCAGAATGTCTGAGTTGAATTCCTAACCAGGGGGTCTGAGGACCTGACCTGGGGTAGGACAGGCAGGGTGCGGTGTCCAGAGGATTCTTGGGGTATCCGCACCCCAGAGTGGAGGCTCAGGGAGAACTGAAAAGGCCTTCATGTTTGGGCTGGGGCCCTCGGAGGATGCAGCTGGTGCCCTCTGGCCTAGACATCAGGCTTGCTGGTCGCAGAAAACTTTGAATACGTGTTCTTATGTTTCCCACACAGGCTGGGAGGAGGCAGTGAAACAGCTGTCACATGCCTGGTTTTTAGGCAAGGAAAGCAATTACAGAGGCCCAGTGCCCTCAGTATCAAGGAAGTAGAATTAGGTCCAATAGTAGTGGGATCTCCATGCATTGTTCTGTAAGGACAGAGTCTCGCCTTAACCTGCACCTCTGGGTAAAGTATTATTTAAGGCAAAAAGACAAAAGAAGGTACATTTCCTTTAGATAATCTAATACAGTAGTCTATTTGTTCATAAATGTTACTTATTAGTCACTATTCATGAAAAATATGAACTGGGATATACCAAAAGAAATACCAATGATGGCTTCATTGAAAGTCTGGCCCAGGACCCAGTCATGCATCCAAATAGTAATCATTTTTTCTTTGAAATCATGATATTTATTGTCACATCAGCATTAATTGTTCATCTCTATCTGGTACATGCTGGACATATTTTACATTATGTATTTATTAATCATATCAACAAATTGTATTTTATATAAAGTATATAAAGTATATATTAATAGTATTAAGACATTTATAGCCATTGAGTTAGCCTCAAATTTAAATTGTTTATCATAAGACTAGAGGCCTGGTGCACGGAATTCATGCAAGGGGGTGGGGGGATGTCCCTCAGCAAAGCTTGCACCCTCTCCAATCTGGGGGGGATGTCCGACTGCCAGTTGAGACCCGTTGCCAGGGAAACCCAACCCTCCCTTCTGGTAGCCATCTTGGTTGGGTTTATTTGCATACCCATTGGCCTGAAATTCTCCAAAGGGCAGGGGAAGAATGAAGCCACTTAGAGACACAGAATTTAAACTATAAATTTAAACTATAAGTTTTTATCGCATCACCTATGCACAGCCCTTCCCATATACTTGGAGCACTTCAAAGAGTCTTGTTGAGAATCCACATCCATATTTTCTACTTGAAGTAGCATTAGCACTGCAGATCTTTCTACATGCTGTCAAGGCTAGCAAGTAGGGTCAACCGAGTAATGAGCAGATTAATCAAAACTTCACTCACTGCCTCTGGCTCATAACTTATAGACAGCAGGCTCATAATCTTTAAAATGACATTTCCCCCTGGGATACAAAGCTTTTCTATAATAACTATTCTTTTTCCTTTAACATAGGGGCTCTCAATAAAAATAATATAATCTCTTTTTCTTCAATTGAGTGAACATCAATTCTTTACTCCTATTCAGCTAAAAAATGTTTAAAGAAGTCATGATGATGTTTTCAGTTAAGATGGTGGTGTAGGTAAATGCAGTACTTGAATCCTTCCAAAACCACATCAAAATTACAACTAAATTACAGAACAACCATCATTCAAAACTTCCTGGGATCTAGCTGAATGAAAGCCCCACAACTAAGGATATATGGAAGAAGCCACACAGAGACTGGTAAAAGGGGCAGAGACATGGCTGGTCCACACCCAAGTTGTTTAAAATAGGGAGGAAGCCTTAGCCAGTTTTTCTCAGTGGTTGGAGAGTTGGCCTGCAGACTTAAGGGTGATGGGTTTGATTCCAGTCAAGGGCAGG